TCCCTATAGTATTCATGGCACATTATGAAAGCTAACCAGCATGGAGGAAGCTTCCTGGATAGTGCCAGCTTATTTTTTCCCATGTCCTGTGACCAAAGTGTGTGTGTGGTATATTCAGTAGTAGGGTCTTTCCATAAGTTCTGATGGGCAACCAGGAGCAATGACAGTAGCCTCTATAATTTTGGGATCTTTGGGATGCCCCTGACCAACAGCTCAAGGTGGGTTATCACATACTTGGTGCTAGGCTTTTTATTTGGCAATCTGTGTTTCCTGAGAGAAACAGTATTATCCTGAGTAAAGCAAAGCAACAAGCTCTCTCTCTGTCTGTCTGTCTGTCTGTCTGTCTCTCTCTCTCTCTCTCTCTCTCTCCAAATTAGTAGGTTTCCATATGCTTTTGTCACGCATTTTAGCATTAATTATCCCTTCCCCAGCTCCTCTTCTGTTCTACCCTCCTAGTCCCATTCTCACTAAACCTTCCTCTTCATTATATCCTTTTCCTTTTCATAATACCTGTGTTCTACTGCAATACCTCACACACTTAATATCTTTCTTCCTACCCCTCAGTGGCCTGAAGTGTTACTCCCAGTTAAACACACAAAACTAAAGATTTAGTGCTGAATTCTACACATGCAGTGGTCTAGATTACCTCACTCAAGATAAAATTTCTAGTTTTCTTAACATCATTAACTAACTATTTTTGAAAGATTTATGCCTTGTTATTACAGGAGCTTAGAAATTGTTTAAGAGGCTTTTCCCATTTGGGTCCATGAGGCAACCCAGAGGCAGCATGAAAGCCAGACATTTTGTTTCAGCACTGCATTCATCTCTTTGACTTTGGGGTTACCTAAGTTATCACCTGAGTACATTACAAAATCTAAATTAGGGGCTGGAGAGATAGCTCAGCAGTTAAGAGAACTCATTGATCTGGCAGAGGATGGAGGCTAGATTCCCAGCAAGCATATGGAAACCCATAACTGGGGGAGACACGGAGGTCCTTGAACTCACAGATAAGCACTGAATGTCAAATACACAGGTTTGTCTCTTCAGAGGGAAAGATGTATACTATGTTTTCTTACTGAAGGTTGAAAGATGATGTGTTCTTTGTCCTATCTCTGTGGCTGAGACCACACTGAATTCTCTCCTGGACCCTTATCACGAGCTTGTCAATCTATAGAATCTTTATGGAAGATGTCACAAGTATTTTACAAGGGGTTTTAATGTAGTTGTGTTGTAAGCTTTACTGTGCACATGGGTTGAGTTCTTTATCACCGGGAAGTTTTTCAGCAAATTGTGCTGTGTTTAAATGCAAAGGAAACATTACAAATTACACTACAGAAATACAGTATAAAATTACAGATTATTTAGCAACATATTGTCACACTTCAAAGAAATGAGTATATCCATGAACACATTTAGGTCTTCTCACTGCTTTTGTTTTTAAAAACCTGTATGCTTTGACATTAGGTGATTATCAACATGCAATTTATATTTTTATTGAATTTTTATCTTGATCGTTATATAGTGACTTTTGTTTTCTTCTTAGGAATTTTACATCAGTATCTGTGTCTCTGATGCCATCACAGGTGTGTCTTCTACCTTTGAAGCTGAATTTTGTCCTCTGTTCGGGCATATTTTCCTTGCTGCTTCAGGAACATGCTCTTTCCCACATGGGCTTTGTGAGGCTCCAATGCATTTATTTGGGCCATTGTCCCCTCTTCTTACAACTGTGGAGTCCCACCCATCTACCATCATGCAGCCCAATGTCCAGACAGGGTTTTGACATCAGATATGACCTTTCTCAAGCATTATACACCTTCTGGTCTACAGCCACATCCAAATCTCATGTTTTATCTGTCAGGGTTCATAAAGATGGCTCTGTTTCATCTTGGTTTAAGGTCAGAGAGTTCAAAACTATCTTTACTCTTCCAAGGTTAAAGTCATAGGACTTAAAGGTCTATGACTTAGCTACTGTAGGAAGTTTGGTCTTATGTGTGAATGTCTTATCTAAATAATGGGAGAATTAGTCTAAGGTGTGGTTACTAAATGTTTGGAGAATTAAGGAAGAAAGCCTATTTCTTCCCTGTATAATGATGAAGAAGTCTTTTGTCATTTACCCCTTTGGGTTAGGGTATTTAAGAATCTTGAATAAACTTGGGGCATTCAGTCTTCACTGGATTTCTGTGTCTCTCTCTTCCTTAGTATCTTTACCTGCAATTTCTCAATCCACACTCCCCCTCTCAGGCATGAACATGGGCTCATACAGATTGGCACCACAAAGATGGGATACTACATTTATCTCCTAACTACACCACGAATTGGGAGCAGAGATGCAATTGGAGGTCGGAGGTAAGTGATTAGCCCACTCCATTTTTTTTTAAGTATCTTCAGCCAGTTGAAAACATGCAGAGGTTTAACATATGGTAAAATCCATTCTTGGGACAAAGCACCATGAAAGAACAGATATGTTATCATCTTGTCAAAAAAGATGCTTTCAGACTCACCCTCTTCCTTGAGCTATTCTCTGCTTCCCAAACTCACACTCTAGTATTTGGAGATCAAAGATCAAGCATTGACTGTCCTTGGTATTCTACCATGCTCTTGCAGACGGCCTTAAGCACACCATCCACCAGACACTCTGCTGGGTCCCCAGAGGCCACACTTGTCCAGTGTCCAGCTCTGTCTGGCACCCAGGACACCCGCTGTCCCTCAGCAAACCCTGCTTAAGTGGTGTCCAGCATCTTTACTCACCTTGGCCCCCTTCCTCCTCCACCTGCACACTCCTCCTCTGCACCATCTCTTAGGCTGCCCTCCCTGCATGGACCCACCTGGCTCTCCTTTCCAAGTCCCACCTGTTTCCCGGACACCTTCTGCTTACTCCACTCTCTCCAATCACTTGTACACCACACTCAAACCTGTGGGTGAGCCCTTCCCTGTGCCTCCCTTATTCCATGACCAAAGACTGCTGAATCCATAGGAAAAGGGAAGGAGGCTCACAGGCTGGGGCGGCTGCCATTTTCCTATGTCTTTGCTGCCCCTTCTGCTGTTTTACCTGCATTTCAAAGGCTTGTGTGCCGGACAATTTCCTCTACCTAAAGTAAGTGGCATGCTTCACTGCTACCTGCATTTAACTGACAACTGTCAATTAATTGTTAGTTAATAGCTGCATTCTCAGTTAGGTTACTACACTTTTCCTGACTGGCTTCCTGTCCTCAGAGAATATTGAAAAGGATAAGGGGAGAAATGGAAGGAAATAAAAAGGTGCAGTGTCAGATGAGGCAATGTAGAAGTGAGATGGAACCATGGAAGATGAAAGAAGTAGGAATTAAATCTCAAATAGAGCTATCTTCCAGATTCTAGGCTGAGTAGAACACAGGTTTGATTGAATCTGTTTTGTTCCTTTTAACCTTCCAGGAAATTAGGATTTCCTTAATTATATAGCTTTTAAGGTAGAAATTTGAGGTTGCTAATAACTAAAATACATGTTACAAATACATCTAGGTGTGTTCTAGAATCTTCCAGGATACTGACATTGGAGGTAGTAGCTGAGAGTTTCTCCCCCCATCCCCCACCCTCCCGTCCTTTCTCAAGAGTCATTTGTTAAGGTGTCCACAGTTTCCCTTGTGTCCTTCAAGGTTCTGGGGAGTCTTGTGTGTTAGTATATGTAGGCAGAGAGAAGGCCAAGAGAGTTGGAGCTCTGCCAAAGAGGGGCAGTCCACTCTTCAGGATTGCTTTCCCTATAAAAGGAAAGAACAGGCTGCAAGGTTTAGTGGGAAGGTGAGGTGTTTCACTTTAGTCTCTCTGGTGAAGTGAACTTTCCACCAATCCATTAGTGGGGGTGGAGAGGAGGATCTCTCATATATGACATGGGAATGGGAATCCCTGTTTCCTGTCCTGGAGATGTTAAATGAGGTAACAGATGTCAATCATGTAGTTAGTACCTACCTGATTGGTTAAGCCCAGTTTCAAATTCATACTTCCTGTGAGTAAATGTCAGTTCTAGGTTCCATTTATGTTCTGGAAGGGCCAAGCCTGGCTATGGAAGGGAAATCATAACAAGGCCCAATAATAGAAAGATGCTACCTCCAGGTAAGGAATTACAATATTTATTTCTATTTCTGTTGAACTTCATAAATCAATGGGTTTTTCTCAAAGGCAGGATGTGATATAGAACTTGGGATTTCAAAGAAAACCAGTACTGAACTCTACGTGTCAGGAAATTGCAATTGCTGTAGCCTGTAGTCACAAGTCACCACTACTGTAGTGCAGCTGCGTGTCACTGGGCAGGTATTGAGGGAAGAAAGCCAGGGACTGACAAAGCATCTGGTGACTCCAGGAAGACACTAAGTTGGCTTCTGTGTCAAAGGAAGGCAGCAGGGCTTGACAACTATTTCCTGACAGTACCCAGTGTCACGTCCCTGCCAATATCACATCACTGAGTCTTTGTGTTCAGTGTCCCTTTGTGCTGCTCCACTAGTGACCCGATCCACTCTGAAGTTTTTTCCCTGGCTTCCTCCCAGCTGACAGGGGGCTCATAGCCCAGATCTCGCTGAGCTTTCTTGTAGGAGAAGGTGAACACACTATTTGACAGTGTGACCAAGTGGCGGTTAAAGGGAGGCCTGTAATTGCAGATTGGATGCAGCAGGAAGCTCACAGCTTCCAGCATGAAGGCAAGCCAGTAGAGCAGGGGCAGAGGAGGGCTCCAACGGGAATCGAGGCGGAGGCCCCATTTCTTGCTGAAGGTGCAATTTAAATCATCATAGCTTTGGTAAGGGGTGTCATCTGAGATGTAGTAGAACTGTCCTTGGATGTTTGGTGACTTCTCAGGGTCTCGTAGGCCCCTGGCAGCCAGAATGTGTGCCCAGGCCACATTGCCCACATACACTGGGTTGACTATGGAGAATTTTCCAGTAACATCCAGAATACCACTATTTTTGAGGGCCCTGATCACTGTGATAGACATTAATGGACTTTTCTCCCCATAGATGTACATAGGCCTTAAGGCACAAGTGTAGAAAGTGCCACCATTTTTCAGGGTGGACCCATTGGCTGCCAGCACTGCCTTCTCAGCCATCTTTTTGCTGTATGGGTATGGATCAGGCCATATAGTTTCATGTTGTTCTTCCTCATGGCCATTCAGGACGATGTTCTTGTAAGAGTTGGGCCCTGCAACATCAATTGAGCTGGTGTAGATGAAGGCTGGCACACTAGCCTGGACACAGGCCTCCAACAGGTTCTGGGTACCTAATCAAAGACAACACACTGTCAGTGTCAGGAAATAAACCAAGGAGGCCACATGATTCTTGTCCATTTCCAGGTGAATCCCAGCTCTCCAGTGCATTTTTTGTTGTTCCCAAATCAGTAGGACCAAGGCATGGGCACATGAACAATAAAAAAGGAAAGGGATGACATCTGCTATCTGGGAGCCTGGTTTCTAGCCTTCTGGCCTTTACAAATCTTTCTTTCTCCATCTATAACCTTTGATTCTGGTTCCTACTGTGTGCTTTGGCAGCATAGCTTTAAGAATGAGGATTTGCTGTTTACATCATTTAATCGTTTCCTATTGAGTCTGTTGGAGAACTGAGAAAGAATGTGTGTTTACTACTGGTCAATCCTATAATGGTAGAACACTGTAGACACAATGTAGACATGCATATCCTGGAGGAGAGGCAAGGGCATCTTGCCTTGAAGAAGGAAGGAATGTCCTGAGCAAGTAGTTACTGTTATTATAATTCACCTATTCATTAACATTAAAATGCACTCTGCAACTTGCTTTCCTGGAGAAACAACTTCATTACCTTAAGTTAAATATATTTGCCAATTAAATTTTGGGTTTCCTTGCTAATAGGAGGGGGTAGATAACCATTACTGTGAAATATTTTTCTGAATCTGTAACAATATTTTGCAAAATATTGCCTTAATCATTGTCTCTGTAGTTGCTCATCTCCCGTTGATGGAAAATGTAGCAGGTAATTGTTATAGATGAAAGATGGTCGACGGACACCAGAGGCTTTTGACACTTTCCTGTGGATATGCATGTGCCATGCCAGGTGTATATTAGAAACCCTGAAAAACTAGAGATGTTCCTGGAAATTCTAAATCATTTTTTTTTCCTTTGGTAAAAGAGTCTTGGAGTGCCCAAGTTGAAAGTCAACATAAAAAAAAAACAAAAAAAAAAACACACAGGAGGACCTTGCAGCGGGTGTAAGGTGATAGGGAGAATGATCCGTGATGTTCAGTGTGAGGATGTTGTATAGAAATCCCATGCAAACTTACATGTTTCACCCTAACTTATATTAAGAAGCCATAATACAGAAAGGCCCACCAAGTAAAGGGAATTGCCCACATCCTCCAGAGGAGATGGATCCACAGTGGGCTGAGAAGATTGTGTGAAAGACATGGGAAATAATGACTCCTAAGAAAACTAAGTGGGCAGGGAAGTGCTGGATCGTTCTTTCCAGAAGCCCTCTGTGGAGAAACTTTGCTGTGGTCTATGCAGGGGGCACCTTCCTTCAGGTGGGCAGGGTTGCTCTCACTGAACTAAAATAACACATGCTGTACTAGTTAACACTTGTCAGGTCTGGGTCTGGCCTGGGAGGGCGACAGTGTGTAGATGGAAATGAAGGATTTGGAGTTGGAGTCCAGTTGCACAGGCATGGAGGAGAACAGCTTTTCTAGCAGTTGGAAAGGAAGGAGTGTGACTTTAAACCTTCATTCTCTTACTGTCTCTGGTGTCTTGATCATGATCCTTCCCCTCCTCGCCTGTTTTCCTCACTGAAACTGTTGAGACTAGGGGCCAGAGGGATGGAAAAAGTGGTTAAGAGTCCTAGCTGCTCTTCCAGAGGATCTGAGTTCTATTCCTAGTACCCACATGGCCACACAGAACCTCTGTAACTCCAGTTCTAGGGCATCTGATGCCCCTTTCTTACCCCATGGGCAGTGAACATGCAGATGGTGCTCAGTCATGCATGCAGCCAGAGACAAAATATAAAATAAAAATTTAAAGAAATATTGAGACTAACAAATATGGGCTCTGCTATCTGAGAAAGGTGAGCAAGCATAGAAGATGGTTCAAAGTAGCCTCTCCCCAAACTTGTTTTTCTGGTTTCATTTTCCCTCTCATCCATATCTTCCTGAGTTACTTACTGTACCTTTCAGGTTGATGTCTATCACAGTCTGTCTGGGAATGGCACCCAAGACGTCAATGGCAGCAGCGGTGTGGATGACAACAGAGATGCCCTGGCAGGCTCTCCTCAGGCACTGGGCATCCAGAATGTCTCCCTCCAGCACTGTCACCTCGGTCTTTGTCTGCAGCTCTGAGGAACACAAAGCAGATCATGGGGAAGCTTTCTGCACAGGATGGAAGTTTCCTGACACAGAATCAGTTGCCTAGGCCTTCAAGGGCAGTCAGAGTGAGGAGATCCTGGGGAGGAGGCCTTTCTCCTGAAGGAACAATAAATGCACAGCAATCACGATGTAATATTAGTAGGGAAGGAGCAAGTGTCCACTTCTACCCCATGAATCTGAGCAGCAAGATATCATTCGTGCTTTGTACATGAAAGTAGAGTTATGGAAACTCATAGACCCTTTAGAGTGACCAGAGAGGTTGTGGAAGTCAAATGTAGAAAGGGAGAATTAGGATTTAATTGATGGAGAATGGGGAATCACTTGTGGGTCTGGACTGAAGGAGAAGCAGAGGCAGAGTCCTTCCATGGGAAGCTGTAACAGAGGTCTCGGGTTGCAAATGTACAGGTATGAAGACAGGAGAGTAACCTGGGCAAGCAACAGGATACTTGTGTCTTCTAGAGTTCCAGTGAGGAGGACCCAGAAGAAGGAGACACAAAGATGGAAAATTCAGTCCTGCCCTTGATAGGTCTTGGTGCTTTCTGGGTCTGAGCTCGCTCAGTAACAAAGAGGACAATTGAGTCACTGTGAGGGAACTTAGAATGGGCTCCAATGATGGGTTTGGCTGAACATCTGTTAGCATATGGCAGATGTCAGAAGTGTGCACTGCACACAATTCAGCTTCTACAAGACCTATATTGCAGACATGAAGCCAGAGCAGTAGATAAATCAGTTGATAAATCCTCATGCTACTCTGACATCCACAGGATGACACTAGCAGCCATGCCATCAGCTAAATATCCCACAAAATGAACATAGTGACACATTCAACCTATATCAATCCCTGACTCTGTCCTCAAGGCTGAGGTTTGTGTGTGTGTGTTTGTGTGTGTGTATGTTTTGTTTTTTGTTTTCTACTTCTCTGCAGTATTATCTTGAAGATGGGAAGATAATGCAGCTAGGTGAACTAAACTTTCAATCCAGACTTTGCCCTTGTCCCACGGACAACAATATCAGCAAGGGATTATGTGCTGCTCCAACAACATCTGCAGTCATTTTTTTTTTTTTTTTTTTTTTTTTTTTGGTCAAGATGAAGGACAGAGAGGAATATGGGAAAGACAATGGAGGAATCCAGGGTGGCATCTGTGGCCCTAATGGCCCTTACCTGCCTTTGCCCTTTATAATGCCCTGTGTACTTTTGTCTGATTCAGTGTTCTCTATTCCCTCTGTCTTTCATTCACAGATTCTAATTTCTTTTTAATTCCAACTCCACAGGATAATACTAAATTACTTTCCCCTGTAAGACAAAAGAAGAAAAGGAATACCCAGTTAGCCAGCCCCAGGACAAGTAAGAAAGGCAGCAATCCACTGCTGAGGTCTGCAAACCCATAACCTTGCTGACTCTATGGAATGGTAGACAAATCTACAACTGTGCACATCTACAAATCCATAATAGCACATTAAAAAGAGAACAGATGTGAGATTTCCAAGTGAGAAGGCCAGAGGCGGTGAGGTCCATCAGCTGCCCCCATGACCACCTTCTGTAGATCTGCAACAGGCCAGACTTTAGCAGCCCAGCAGCTGTGTGGTCTAGTGTGTTTTAGGCTGTGTTGTCATGATCCTTCCTGGTGAGTGTAGGCATGGAGAAACCTCATGCTTCAAGTGCTCTATATTGACAGGAGCCCTGCAATGCGCAGTCTGTTATTATAATGCTGGAGGGGAATACTGACAGATTCCATGTCAGGCAAGTGTGTTATGCCAGGCAGACAGAGCTTAGTGAGAAGTTTTATTAGAAACGAAAGCGGGGGGGGGGGGGTGGAGAATAGAGTTAAAGATACACAGAGACAGAGAGGACGGAAGAGAAGAAGGAGAGAGGAAAAGTCTTGTCTGCCCCAAGGGAATAGTCAGAAAGAAAGAGGGAGGGGGAAGAGAGCAAGAAAGAGAGCGTGAGTGGGTAGGGTCTTCCTTCCTTCCTTCCTTTCTTTCTTTCTTCCTCTCTTTCTTTAAGAGAGCGTGAGTGGGTAGGGTCTTTCTTTCCTTTCTTCCTTCCTTCCTTCCTTTCCTTCCTTCCTTTCCTTCCTTCCTTCCTTCCTTTCCTTCCTTCCTTCCTTCCTTCCTTCTTTCTTTCTTTCTTTCTTTCTTTCTTTCTTTCTTTCTTTCTTTCTTTCTTTCTTTAAGGGGTCCTTTGTACCTGTGTGCAGACTATGCAACCGTGGAACACTGGGCTGAGCACATTCTGTCAGGTGACAGGGGCAGGCCAGCATAACGCCTGAATCCTTACATTCTCTCTCCCATTCCTCTCTTTCCTGCTCTCTTTCTCCACTGTTCCCCTGGGATGGATAGGAATTTTCCTGTTTCCCTCTTCTTTTCTGTTCTCTCTGTTTGTCTCTCTGTGTCTCTTTACCTCTTTTCTCTTCCCTCCCCCCATTCCCTTTCTAATAAAACATCTCACTTAAGCTCTGTCTATTTAAATGTATAATGGTTCCCTTTATTAAGGAATCTCTATTCTTCCCCCAACTCAATCTAAGGAAATGTCCAGAGATCCACAAGTATGACCCCCAACTAAGAATCTAAGCAATAGTGGAGAGGATACTTTAAAAGCCACCCTAGAGCCTTCTGCCAGTAGCTGATGGAAGCAGAAGCAGAGATCCACAGCTAAACACTGAGCAGATCTCCTGGAATCCAGTTACTGGAGTGATGAGCAAAGGGGTCAAGACCATGCTGGGAGAGACAGCGGACCTTGGGGGAGCTCATGGACCCCAGTGTGATAGCTGGGAACCAGCATAGGACAAAACCAGGCTTCCTTAACTTAGGTGACAGTTAGGAGGCCTAGGCAGTTTATGGGGCCTCTAGCAGTGGAACCCAGTATTTATCCCTAGTATAGGGATAGGCCCATTCCCTCATGGAGGGATACTCTCTCAGCCTAGATACATGGGGGAGGGCCTAGGCCCTGCTCCAAATGATATGACAGACTTTGATGATCCCCCATGGAAGGGCCTCATCCTCCTTGGGGAGTTGATGGGGGATGGGATGGGGGTTAGTGGGGGCCATGGGAGAATGGGAGGGAGATGGAACTGGGATTGATATGTAAAATATGATTGCTTATAATTTAAGTAATTTTTTTTAAAGCTCTGTCTGCCTGGCTGTCTGGCATGTTTGTCCCTCTGCCTGGTCACCTTTGCCCAACATGGAATCTGCCAAGGTTCCTCTTTATCATAACACAGGCAGGTTCACAGTGGTCATACAGTACTCACACAGCAGTCACTCAGACAGAGCCTCTAGCTTTACTTACTACAGAATTCCTCCCTGGTTTCTGGTCTGAAGACTTTGTCCAGGGCTCTGACTTCCTGAAGCTCTTTGTCCTGCACCAACAAGCGGATGATCCTCTGGCCCAAAAACCCTCCTGCTCCTGTCACCAGGCAGCTCCACCCAGGCATGGCCAACACAAAACAGATTGCAACAGGAACAGATGTGATGTAGATGATCCTAGAAAGGGCTGGAAGAGGCCCAAATGAAAACAGTGTTCCAGTAATCCCTCGGACTTACTCTACCCAATTTTTGCAAACACTGTTTGTCCTCACCAACACCAAGGAACCAAAATAAACGTAGTGTTCCAATCTTCTAGACTGTTAAAAAGTGAATGAAAGAGTCAGGATGACAGTGGCCTCAACACTTCGGTCCCGAGTTTTATGCTCTAGTCACTTGATTCATCATACCTTGATTTATGACTGCTTTGGGATCATTATTTATTCTTTTCTGTGATCCTTTCTCCCCACTGACTGATAAATGTTTTGTCCTTTATTCTTGACACAGGAAGAACAGCCCGTTTCAAGACTATATTGTGATAAATATTCATTTTGTTTGGACACAGACACTTATTACAGAATTATTGCTGACATAAGAAGGACCACCAGACATACAATACTAAATATGTAAGGAAAATGAGGGGCATGGTCTTTAATTCCAGCACTCTACAAGTAGTGGTCATGGTCAGGCTAGCCATTCTTCATAGTGAGTTCCTGGATAGCCAGAGCTACATAGTGAGACCCTGTGTCAAGAAACAAAACAAAACAAACAAAACAAAACAAAAATAACTAGAATTACTAGAGGCAACCAATTACTAAGTTGCATCTAAGGATAATTATATGAAAAATTTTAATCAAAATTTGAATTTATTTCATGAATGTCTACAATGTAACCCAGTAACTGAGAATACATTGTTTAGTATGCTTTATTATTAAGAAATAAAGTCATACAAATAGTTATAAGGTAACAGACTCTATTAGAAAGTACAGGTGCAGTGACTACTCAATTTAGATTATAGGAAATGGTAACTACTGATAGACCCAAAGGAGTGTGTGAGTCTGGCAGTAGGTAGTCAGTAAGGCTGCCTGAGAAGATCAAGGACAGCTTCAAAGACTGAGTAACCTTGGAGTTGGATCCTGATCTTTTCAAACAGAAAAAAAAAACCCACAATAAAATACAGATGAAAAATCTTACTTAATGATGTGGGGATGTCTTGTGCCTTTGTTTCAAGAATTCTGAGAACCAAGGAAACTAGTTTTTCACTTGTATAGAAATTCCCAGTAAAGATTTGGTTTTCTGTTAGTAAATCAGCCAACAGTTCATACAATGGCCTGGAGTTCAGGGTGTGAAGTTAAACTAGAATAGCTCCCCAGATGCAATGCTGGGATTTGTCCCATGCAGTAAGTAAATCCTCCAAAGGAATGTCAACCTTGAAAGATTCCATTTTGTCTCTAGTTATAAGTTTGACCAGAAATGTGCATCTTTGCTTGCAAATGTTAAGAATTTTTAGTCATTAAGTAATCCACACAGATTCCAAAAGTCTCTGTTTCAAGGCCTTTGGCTTTCCATTAAAGGAGGCGAGTTACTAGCAGCCACCTTCTTATGAAGCTAATGTCACAAGAGAAATTGTACGCTTGTGCCACAGTGGCTCTCATCATGGAGACTTGTACTAGTTTGAATTGAATACAATAGGGGTACATCTGAAGGCCACAGCTCAGAGGTACTACAGTACCCTGACATGTGACACTTAGGGCATGATCTGCCCTCTACCTTTAAAACAGTGGGTATAGACCATCTATACCCACTCTACTGTGGAGTTGTCTACTTTCTGATCTTATGTATATTAAATTCTCATTTTAATCCCACATTCTGTAAATTTTTCTCTTCTAAGCTACTTTTGGTTCTTGATATATGTTGAAATATACAACCAAAACTAAATTAAGCTTTGTTCATAGAGTGTCAAAAAACAAAACAAAACAAGCAAACAAAAAAAAAACCGACTTGATTTTTCTCTATTTTACCAACTTCCTTTGTTTCTTGTATTTATATTATTTGCTTTCACTTATTAATTTGGACTTAATATCTTCCTTTCCTGGCATCCTGTGGTACAAGCTTAGCTGATCATTTTCATGCTTTCTTCAACTGCAGTCCCCACTCAAGGAAGCTGTCTCCTATTGTCTTAAGTAGACCTTTCTGTTTTACTCAGGTATTGTTTGCAACTGTGCTTATACTATGGAAGTGGGGAGTTTTCTAAGCTTTATTGCTATTGATTTTTAATTTAGTAGTCATGTGACCATAGCATGATCCCTGTATAATGTTGACTCTTTGATGCTTATTGAGACTCTCTTTTTAAAGGATGCTTTCTGGAATGCTTGAGAATAAATTTAATTTGAAGAGTCTGACATCCTACTTTGGATCCCATTCCCATTTTGTAGATATTTTCTTCTCCCACTCCAGGGCGTGAATCCCAGCCCTTCAAACTTGCTCAGGAAAGCACCGCCCTGTATACAATGCAGCTGCTATTAAAAGTCTTTGGTCTTGATAACATCTTCAGGCTTTCTCAGCAACCATCTAGGTGAATCGGGCACCTTTGCCAGCTATATCTGTTGTCAGACCCCTCCACTGATTTTAAGACTGAGATATAAATTCCTCAATTATAGTGGTGTCAAAGGCTGGTAGACTGAAGCTAATATTTCTCTGAGAATTGCTTTTATCAGAGGAGCTTGGAGAATAAATAGTTGGGCTCCCAAATAGACTTGATACACACAAACAAAGTGAGAAACAAAGCAAAGGAGTTGTCATGAAACTTCTGTTTTCCAACTGTTTTACTGAGGTATGATTTTTGTGCATGCATCAGTTTTAATTGTACAGTTAAATGATTCCAGTAAAGTTTAGTCATGTGTTACCACCATCATAATAATACTTTAGGATGTGTTTATAATCCCCACAATGATCTCTTATGTCACACAGCTATCAGTCCTTATTCTCACCCTCCAACTCTAGATAACCTCTAACCTATTACAAAAATACTTTTAAAATGTCATCCCTTACCAGAGAAGTTTCTTTTTGCATTAAATGCTGATTAGTACAGAGACATATTCAAGATATGTCTTGAATAAGCAAATGTGGGGTGCTCAGGTTTAAATGGGACATTTATGTCACAATCTGTCTTAGTCATTCTTCTAATGCTGTGACAAAATGACACAACAAAAGCAATTTATAAAAGGGAGTTTTTAACTGGGCTTACTATTTCAGAGGGTTAAATCCCACAATGGTAGAGCAAAGGCATGATGGCAGGAGCAGCTGAGAGCTTACATCTTGATTCATAAACAGGTAAAGAAAACTGACTCGCGATAGTGTGGGTTTTTGAAGTCTCACAGGCCATCCCCAGTGAAACATCCCTCAACAAGACCACACTCCCCAGTCCTTCCTAAACTGTTCCACCACCTGCACACTAGGTATTCATAAATAGGAACCTATGGAAGTAATTCCTATTCAAATCTCCACATTCTGTTCCCTGGTTCCCAAAGGCTTTTGGCCATTCTATAATGCAAAATACATTTAGTCCAACTTGAAAAGTTTCCATAGACTTTCAGTCAACACTGTTTAAAAGTTCAAAGTTCAAAAGCCTCTTCTGAGACTCAAGACAACCTCTTAATTGTAACTCTTTGTAAAATGAGAAAGCAAATTATATTTTTCCAACATAGGATGCCATAGAAGATAGAAAACCAGCAGGACAAATTCCAAATCTTGTACCTCATGCCTGATGTCCGAGAATATAGGTGGTTCTACCCTTCTGGCTTTGGTGCCTACAACATATTCTCTCTCCTGGAATGGTTCTACTCCTTCTTTACCTTGGCAAATGTCTCATGGCTCTGGCATGTTGGGATTTCCAACACAATCCAGGCTTCACCTACACAGCTTTTCACAATGGCCTCTCCAGGTCTTCATGAAGATATTGCCCCTGCCACTTGCTTGGCCTCAGAAGCTATGCTTAACCATGGAGGAAGATTCCATAATCCTTTACTTATGTGTCCTTTATGATTCCAAAGATAGGATCATATTGATGATACTGCCAAATTCATCTGCTAACATAGGGTGAATCACGACACCCCTGAGAACCACATTTGTAGCATTTGAGTTTTTGTTGCTTTTTCTTAGGCCTTTTCTTTCCACATTCTGGAAGCCTAGTTGGGTGAGATCTTGCTCTGAGGACAATCTTCCCTTTGCCTCAATGCACTCTGGGCTTCTCCTTGAGCTCTTTATCTCTTTCAGAGCAAGCCTTGGCTCTAACATTAAATTTGTTATTCCTTTTTTTTTATGCATATAGAGTATTTTTTATTTAATTTTATATAACAAAGTCCAATTAAATGAAAACAAACATACACAATATTTGGGAATTTGGGTGTCGTTCTTTCCAAACTACTTCCTGCTGGTAAGGGGCGCTGTCTTGGGGGATTCGAAGAAGATTCAGATATCCTAGCTGTAGTCTGTAGGGCTGTTTTGTCCAGCTGTTTGGAATGTAGGATCAGCTTGTACTCTGTTTCAGGCGGTCTGGTATGATCAAACCACATTAGTCTAGAAGGAATCCACATCTTTTCATTTTCTGTGGAAACAAAAATAGAAATACTTTTCCCCAGTAACTTGTTCTTCAACTTAAATTTTGGAGTCAAAGCGTTTTTTTTTATTATTATTATTATTTTACATGTCGATCCCAGTTCTCTCTCCCTCCCTCCCTCCCTCCCCCCAAGCCCTCCCTCCCTCCTTCCCTCCCTTTTGCCCTCTCTACCCTCTCCCAAGCACTCTAAACACCCTCCCCTCCCAACCCCCCACCACAATACAATATGTAGGGGAATGCCATCCAGTTGGGGTCATGTAGATCTGACAGGTCCTGTGAAGTAGGGACTAGGGCTTCTCTCCTATCTCTAGAATAAGGCAGTTATCCCTCCATGGGGGATATGTTTGCAAAGTCCTTTTGTGCACCAGGGATACATCCTGGCTCCACTGTCTGAGGTCTCTTAGACTGCTCAGACCTTCTGGCTGAGACCCATATTCAGGGGGTCCGAGTCAGACCCCTGTTGGCTTCCCAGCTATCAGTCTAGTGGCCCTTAGCTCCTCCTTGTTCAGGTAAGCTGTCTCTATGTACTTCTACCGCATGGTCTTGTCCTCTCCATCTGCTTCTGGGTTCTAGTTCGA